GTCTGCAGCCATCACCTCGTGTTGTTGTGGCCGGCACATTCCTGCGCCTACTAGTCATCCCACCGCTGGTGCTGTGCGTGCGCGGCATTATTCCTGGTATTGCCCTACCGTACATACTGTGTTTGATCTGGGGTCTCACGAATGGTTACTTTGGTGGCATGGCGATGATCTATGCACCGCGTACGCCATCGCTGACAATGGCAGGCCAGCGCTCTCTTGCCGGTATTATGGCCGCATTGTCGCTGCTGATTGGTCTGTTTATTGGGTCATCATTGGCCCTTGCTGTGAAGGAAGGATTTCCAGAATAGGCCTGCTGACTAACAATGTTGGCCGTAGTGTGGGTGCCAGAGAGCAAGAGTAGTATTCCGAATGGCATTCGCAAGTATAGGTATATGTTCCGTGTGTATGGTTTTTTGTAGTTTTCTTTTTTTCCGTATGGTTTCGTGGTTGTGTATTTCTTTTGGTTTTTTGTTTTGGTTTTTAACTTATAATTCTGTTTATATGTGGTGGTACTGTGATTTTAATGTTTTTTTTGTATTGCTTTTTTTTTGCTTTTATAACTTTTTTTTTTCGTTTCTGCAGTGGTTGTTGGAGATTGTGGTGGGGTTTTCATTCTCTAGTTATAGTGCTGTTTTTTTATTTATAATTGGTTTTGTTAGGTGTTCTTTAACATGTTTTTTTTTTATTATTAAGAGTTGTGGGACTGGTTTATGAGGTTTGTTTTTAATACCAGGATTTATTGTTAGCAGATCCTCTCTTTTTGTGGTGTCGGCGTTACCTTCGTTTTGCTATGCTCTTTTTTTTCTTTTTGCTTTTAATGGTTGGGCAAGCGAAGAGGTTCTGATGTTTTTCTTTTTTTTGTGTGTGTGTGTCTCCGTTTGATTGGATTTGTATGTCTTATCGTTGAACTGTACACGGATAAGTTGTCTCTTGGTTGTATAATAATGGTATTTGAGAAAGTCCTTGCCGTTGGTAGACGATTACCATCAGCGAAAATAACGTCACCTGATCTTGTCAAACTGTGTTCTCTAGGTAAGGCTTTATATTATAGTGTTGAGTATGTTTCTACTGTTGTAAGTATGTTTTTTTTTTTTTTTGTTTTGTCCTGCTGGAGCAATCTTGGAGAGATAAAGTGCTTTCGGGATTTAATGCATGTAAAGAGAGTTTTTTATTTGGGTATATTTTTTTTTTGTTGTTGGCTTTGTGCACTTGATTTCTTCTTAAGTAGTTTACTCAGTAGCTATTGCTAACCGTGAAGGGGTTTTGAAAGGCGCGAGGGGAAGAGCGGAAACAAAAAAGAAAAAAAAAAACCTTTTTGGAGTTGATTGGTTGAATTTTTTTTCTTTTTTAATTTTTTTTTATTTTTAATAGTTTGTGTTTCGCTGAGCGGTACCCTTTTTGGGGGGGTACTGTTATTTTTTTCTTTTGTTTTCTTTTGTTTTCGAAGTGTTTTAAATGTGTATGAAATGATAACATGTAAATCGATGAATGACGGACTATAGTTTCTTTAATTCGATCCAGTTAGATAAATATCTGTGGAATTATAGTAAAAAAAAAAATTATTTTTTTTTAGTTTGTTGCTTATTGCTTTTCTTCTTTATTACATCCATTGGTATCTCTCTCTGTCTCTTTACCACTATAATACGTCTAATTTTTACATGTTTTGCAGTGTCTTGTATATATATATATATATATATATATATATATGGATAAGCATAAGAGTGTTTTTTTTTCTGTATTTCTCTCTCGTTCTTTCTCTTTTCATTTCATTCTTTCTAAATATATATATATATATATATATATATATATATATAGTGTGTGAGTGTGAGTGTGAGTGTGAGTGTTGTCAATGGCGACTGCGACGTCAGTGAAAGAGGCGATTGCACGCTTTGAGGAGGCGGAATACCACCGCCGTGTGGCTGAACTCCCAGAGGATGAAAAGGCAAACGCCCCACGAGTAGTGGCCGCAGAGGAGCCACGTGTGTTATTGATTGGAATGTTGCCGCCCATTGTGAAGATGGATAAGGACATAGCCACACTGGTGAACTGCGAACACCTCGGACTCTCTACAAACGCTATTGAGAAAATTGGTCCAGGACTGAAGGAGTTAAAGAAGTTAAAGGTACTCTCACTCGGTCGAAATGTCATTCGCAAGATTGAGCAGTTGGATATCCCACAGTTGGAACAGTTATGGCTCTCATATAATAAAATTGATAAACTCACTGGTCTGGATAAGCTAAAAAATCTTAAGGTACTCTATATGAGTAATAATCTCATCAGCAGTTGGACAGAGATTGATCGCTTATCTAATCAGTGTCCAGAGCTTGTAGAGGTACTCTTTCTTAACAATCCTATTTGCAATAATGCCCCATCTATGCAGGAGTATAGATATATGGTGCTGCAGCGACTGCCAAAGCTGACAAAGTTGGATGGAGTGCCAGTGGATCCAGAGGAGAAGGAAGAGGCGGAACGTCGACGTTAAAGGAGAAGAGAAGAGAAAGAAAGAAAAAGAAAGAATAAGAAGAAAAAGAAGAGAATATATATATATAT